TTTTTTAATATCCTCTCCAATTTTCTCCTTCTCTCATCTCCTCTATGTTCCATTCCATTTTGATGAGCCTGAGGTTCCAGTCATCGTTGAATCGGCTGAATCTGAGCTTCATTCCACCTAAGCCGCTACGAAATGACCTGCAAAAGGGTCGGGAAGGTCTCCCGTCGTTAGCACTTTGACGCCAAGTTAGTTTAGGGGAAGAAGATGATGGATGCTCTGTAATCAAAGAGTTGTATGTAATGTATGTGGAGTGTAGAATTGGATCTGGATGTACCTCAGCCCCTTTTATGGGGTGATACCTACCCGAAATGGCTTGCCCGACTGCCCGCGGTCAGCTGCCCGGGTTTGATCTTATCTGATTAGTTCTTATTCTTATCTAATCATGTCCTAGTCACCATTAGATTCCTTCTTATCCCTTGTTCTTTAGTTGGTAATGCTTATTATGTCATGATAATTCCTGAAGTCGTCTGGTTCGCATCTTTACCATTGAAATCAGGCTATCTTAAGCTCCTTCCATCCTTAGGTCATCCGAGACAATCTAGGCCGTCCAGGACATTCCAGGTCGTCCGTGGGTCTCCAGGTCGTCTGGGTGATCGGGTCATTTAGATATCAATAATTTCCACAAGACCTCTAGGTCGTCTTGATTGTTCGGTAGACCTCTTAGTACTTAATATAATTCCCACTAGCCCAGTTATGGCTTTATCATCTAGTCCTTCCAAAAATACTTCATTGCAACGTCGAGCTATGAGTAGTCAACGGTCAAATGTTTTGACATGTCAATCGTCAGATAAGCAGAGGTGAAGGAATGTTTTGTCGCTTTATTCGACCAATTAGACCCTTCACTGATATAGAGAATCTATTTCATTCTGAATTGCTAAACTCGAATACTGGAGAGAATATCAAAACGGCCTTTTTGGTTAGGATACATAAATTGGAAAATTTTGGGATCGAACCCATCTTTTTCTGACTTAACCTAACCTTAGAGTAATTTGATGAAAAAGAAGAAGGTTGACTAAAGCCTTGTAATTTGATTTGAATTTCAGTTTAAGTTTGACGAGAATAATATTCTACAACTAGCAATTCATTTATTTCCAAACCGACCCACTTATTATCTATTATTTGATTCACTAATCCTTTATATTGGGATGGGTGGAGGGTCAAATGGTTTGGTGCTTTTGCATGAGGAGAAGAGTTGAGAGAATTTTGAATCAGAGTTCTGGATTGTTGTGCATCCTTCGCCGTAATAATATCTTGGGGTTTGCAGTGATAACTTGGTATATCTACTATACGCCCATTCACTAAAACATGTCTATGGTTAACTAATTGGCGGGCTGCGGGAATAGTCCAAGCCATACCCAATCGAAAAAGGATGTTATCCAAACACATTTCAAGTAATTGTAGTAAAACTTGACCTGTTGACCCCTTGGCTTTTCGGGCGATACGAACGTATTTAAGTAATTGTCGTTCTGTAAGACCATAATGAAAACGCAATTTTTCTTCTAGGCGAATAAGACTAATCGAGAAGTCGATTTATTTTGACCACTCATTGATTCGTCTGGTATCTAAATAGAAGATTCATTCATAAGTTAATTTACTAGATCAAAAACTTATGACATTTAAAAAGGTATAGATCCAATGTCACATTCAGTAAAGATTTATGATACGTGTATAGGACGTACTCAATGTGTCCGAGCGTGCCCTACCGATGTATTAAAAATGATACCATGGACGGGTGTAAAGCTAAACAAATTGCTTCTGCTTCAAGGACTGAGGACTGGGAACCGTGCACGATCCGAGACACCGATATGGGCCTTTAGTATTTTTTGAGGTAGATCCTTTTAAAATCTACAGGCAAAGGTAAGTTTGTAAAATATTGACTTTCACTAGCAATTTTCTTGATATGGGCCTTTAGTATTTTGAGGTAGATCCTTATATTTTTTTTTCCTTAAAGAGTATATACATTGATGCAGCTTAGCGTACGAAAGGGAACAAGAACAGAAATAAAATCTCGAATCTTACGTTTATTCAATCAATACTGACGGCTAATGCCAAGAGAACAGACATATATAGAGTTCTAAACAGTCTAAATACCTATCTTGCTAGACAAGTAAATACCTAATAGAATAATTATTCTCCTACCAACTTAATAAAATAAATAAAGGAAAACTAATTGGTGGCCCAATTAATTCTGTCTGTGTTTGTTCCTGTGATTGTGTTTGTTCCTGTGATTGTGTTTTAGGTTTGGGCCGTTGGCCTCTGTGCGCCCGGGTGTCAAATTTATTACTCCGTGGGGGTCCGACACTCGGGTATTACTCTGTTGGGGTCTTGTTTAGTTTTGTTGGTGTAGTTGGTTTAGTGTGGTTGTGTTTTTTTGTTGTTTTTTGTGTGTTGCCCGAGTATTACCCCGTTGGGGTCGTTTATAGGCGATCTCTGAATCTGCCTCCCAGTTTTCTAGTCTTTGGTTGTACTATTCAACCCTTGGCTGCTTTTTCTTCGCACTTTGTGCGGATTTTACTAATATAGTACCTCTATCGTTTCGGAAAAAAAAAAAAAAAGAAAAAAAATAATAATGATCAATATGCAAATAAATAATTAAGCTAAAGTGGCATCCGATCGTATCTTTCTAGAAAGGCAAGTGCGATCTCGTCATCCTCCTCCGGTCGAGAAGGATTCACCCTCGAATCCGATCCGATCTTGTGACCATCTGAGTCGTCATCTAGATACGACACCAATTGCTTGATGTTGAACACGTCAGACATGCGAATGTACGACAGTAGACGAAGGCAGTACACATGAGAATTGATCTTCTCCACGATCGCGACCGGGCCAATTTTACGAACTAACAACTAGGTATACGCACTAGCCGAAAAGCAGTCCGCTGTCAAAACCACCCATACATAATCACCGACTTTTGTGCAGTATTTTGTGGTGGGATAATTTGGTAACCGAGTTATTCGGACTCGGGTCGTTTCTCAAAGGAAGACGGTTCGGAGCTTCGTTTGCTAATTAGTTTTCCAAAACACAAAAATAGAAAATAAAATCCTACACACTCTAATTCAATTTGTTGGTTTGGATTGATTATCAACTAAGGAATATAATGAAATATAAATCTATCTAAGAAATATAAGTGTCACAATACAAAGAGAGATAAACCAGCTAGGGTATCGGGGACAATCATTTCCGGTTTTACACACATTTATCGGCAATACATAACTCGATTAAAAGACTCGACTAATTAACTCATTTAGCAGTTTAACCTCATTAACTCTTTGTAACATGCGGATAAACATAAACGAGCAAATTAACGAAAAAATTAATACATAGACAATACGTCTCCGAACATGTCTACTCTAAACGAGCCAAGTTCCACCAATTTCTCCCCTATCGGTTTTGAAATAGATTAATTCTACGACTCCTTCCCTTTCAGTTATGAAAGTCGCTAATTCGATTAGGAGGTGTTTAATCAACTAATCATGTAGATTCAACAAACTCAAACTTCATAAATCAATATTCAATCGTGCAAAATCGAAGTGTCACTCTTCAATTATATCAATAAATTTTCCTAAGTGTCACTCTTAGGTAATATCGAATTATCAAGCATGATTTTATCAATTCCAAATTAAAAAGACTCGCAAAGATTGAGCTATCGTCATGCACATAAACGAGGACAAACCAGAATGACTATCCCCTAACCCCTAGCTAAAGGATTAGCTACTCATAGCAATTTCAACACAAACGTTCATTTCTCCTAAATTAACCATTTTGTATGAATTAATTCAAAGAGAAAATAAACTTTCAATTCAAGCTCCAAATGTTGAGTTCAAATACAAGCTTCATCCAAAAGACAAAATGAGGAAAATGAAGAAGAGAAGAAGAATACAAGAAGAAGAAAAGAAGAAGAAAGAGGGAGACAGGGAGAAGAGGGGAGAACCCTTCTATGGAGTTGTGTCTTCTCAATTGTTGTAGTTATTTTTACCGGAGTGGAATCGAAAGATTCGAACACCGGGTCGTGTCTCAAGGAAGGTTAGCCGGATTATCTTGTACGTATATTCAATCACAAAAAGAGAAATTAAATCCTAAACACTCTAATTCAATTGATTGGTTTGAATTATCAACTACGCGATTAACAACTAATGGTACTCAAACAAGAAATTCTAATTTTACACTCCAAAAACACAATTCAAAGAATGATAAGAAGGACTAGGGTGTCAGGGACAATCGTTTCCGGTTCTCAATACATTAAATGACAATCAATCACTCGGCCAAAGGACACGAAAAACTCACTCATTCAGAGATTCATCCTCAATAACTCACATAACAAGAGAACAAACATAAATGAACAATTATCGAATCAATAAGCACATAGACAATACGTCACCGAACAAGTCAACTCTAAACGAGCCTAGATCAATCGATCCCTCCCCTTTCGGTTCTAAGGATCATTTTAGTGGATTAAAAAGGTGATCAATCAATTCAACCCTAGATTTAGCACAACTCGAATAGCTTGAGCAATCAACATTCATGCAAACGAAATTGAACCGGAACAATTATCCCCTAGCCCTAGTTAACGAATTTAGCTACTCATCACAAATCCGACATCAACATTCATATGAAGCATAGACATATCACTCATCAATGAAATAAGAGAAAAGCTTACGATAAATACGAATCCAATGTTGAAAAAAACAACGAGCAATCCAAATCCAAAAGCTTACTCTTGGTGTTTTCACAATCCAAGATCAAATCCTATGAAAACTAAGAGAAATATATGTTCTGGAGTGAAAAAGCACGAGAGAGGTTCAAAACCTAGGTCAAAAGATAATGAAAAACTGAACAAGATCGCAAAATTAAAAATTGCCCGTCGCGACCCCCGCGGCCGCGACCTAGCCTCCCGCGGCCGCGGCGAAGAAAATCTCGCGGCCGCGACCTTCTCCGAGGCTGCGAGTTTGACGGGCCAGAAACACGAATTTTCGAGCATCTCGCGGCCGCGACTTCCTCTTCTCCGCGGCCGCGGTGAAGGATTTCTGCACGTCGTGATTTCGGGTTCGTGTTCTCGCATCCGGACTCGGAATTTAATCTCGTCTTCTCCAATACGACCCCAACTAATCCATCTAGACGGTAAACCTCGCATGGCCATGCACCGAGCCACCAAACCTGCACATCACCACCGACAAGAAATACGGAAAACCGGGAAAAAATGAACAAAAAGACCAAAAACGACTAAAACAAAGGGAATGCACGAAACGACTCAAAACGGACCAAAAACCAAAGAAAAATACCTAAGGAGGGGAAAAATAAGCATAAAATAAATAAGAAAAACATGACAAAAGTGGAACGAACATCAATTCAAATCCTTGCCCCATTTATAGATGTTTTCTCCTTCTTTTCATCCATAAATTCTTCCACAAAACATGAAAAAATGTTCATGGCTCAAAACATGGAAGAAATGGCTCAAAACATGGAGGAAATGGCTTAAAACATGGAGGAAAATCCGAGTGGTGGGTCTAGGTATGGAGTAGGTGCTCCGCGGCCGCGACTTTCAGCTGCAGAAGTTGGCTCCGCGGCCGCGGGATTCCTCCGCTGCCCGCGGTGAAGAAAATTCGGCTGTTACGCGCGGCTTACGTTTCGGGCTCGTCCGAACTCGAAATTGAGTTCCGTTTTTTCTTATGTGTCACCAACGAAGCCTTCTACGCAATTGTACTTTCAAATCCAACTTATACTTGAAAACCTATTATACCAAAGTTCTTGACTTGAAGTTGGCGGCTTCCGTGCACGACTTCGCATATTGGGCCCGTTCGGACTCGTCTGAACTCAAAACCGGGTTCCGCTTTTTCCTATTTGTAGCCAATGAACCTTTCTACTCAACCATATTTTCCCGGCCCATATTCGAGTTAAATCTATTCCTCACGGGCTTCTGACCTGCACACCAAAAGAAAGAAGAAAAACATAGAAAACTGATAAAATACACGAAAAATACATAAAAAGCCAAAATAGAGCAAAACACACAATAAACTACAAAACAAACTAAAAACCAACTAAAAGACTTAAAACCGGGGAAAAAGAAGAACAAAATAACAACGAAAAACGTAACAAAATGTACACAATAACTCCCTCACACTTAAACTTTTGTTCGTCCCGAACAAAGAAAAAAGAAAACAAGACACGAACATGGGTACAGTTTCAAATAAGACATGCCTCTAAATTTTTAACTCAATCGAATCGAATTCCAATGACCGTACGACCATATGCCTCAAATATCGACTTGTCTTTAAAATGACAAAGTCACAATACGTAGGTCATTATATATGCCTCACTAATTTTCTTGCTTGAATATGTTATAGGTACGCTCAAAATTTGTCGATATTCACGTTTCAACATATGCTTACCAATCATCTAAATTACTCAGAAACAATCAAAGCTCGAAATTATTGAATCAAGAGAACTTCTCGGTTTGTAATATGGCTACAGGTAAATGTAAAGATATATACATAGACAAGAAGCTCACACAATCAATCAAAGTTCTCGAGTAATAGAATACTCGAATGTCCGCCACTCGACCAAAATCAACAAGATAGCATATATACCATCCACCAATGTCTCCACATAAATGCTCCAATCGAATTGCAACTATGCTTGACTTATTACACATTTTTTTTATTTAAAGAGTTACTATTTCTGAACAAGCTCGAATCATAAGGACAATATTCCTTTGGTTTAAACATTGGAGGTCATCCAAGTGTCCTAAAGTAGTTTTCCAATACTCATTACTCGTTAAAATGAATAACAAGCAAGTGTAGTAGAATCCAATCGATTCATCTTGCGAGCTC